ATAGCAGCTTATAAATCTTTATCAAAATCTTCTGTTTGCTTTCCTGATAAATGAATAATGTTATTTTCAAATCTTCGATATTGTTCAAAAGACAACTCCGGTCTTGAAAGTAAAAATTAATTTTTTCTAAATCAGATAAAGCAATTTATTCGGCTGGTTTTGATAAAAGCATTCTAAAACAAAATAAATAAATAAAATAAATGTAAAAAAAGAACAAATGCTGTAGCTGGTGTTGAAATAGCTGTTGATGATTCCCAAATTGAAAATTTTTGTTTTTGTTTCCGCGATATATGTTTTACTTGAACTAATACGTGAATAAAGTTGTGTTCGATCTTGAAACAGCAGTTGCAATATTTCGAATTTTTAAGCACGGAACACTCCCTTTTTTGCAACGAACTTGACAATCTAGAAAGTTTGTTTTCATTCTCTTAGGTGACAAATGACAATTATCTTTGAGTGATGGATATGATTTTTTCTTATTTGAGAACAGATCCAAATTTTCTTAATGAGATCAGAAATAGTAGTAGAGTTTATTTTCATTAGTCGTACGAGAAAAAAAATTAATTTGTGTCACTGAACAAAAATGATTCCACTTCAATGAACCGAAGACCCACATCCAAGAGAAAAACATTTTCAAAAGAACAGAAAAGTTCGCTAACAAAAAAGAAATATCAGTTTATCTCTCATATATATAAATATATATATATTTATGATAGATTTGTCTGTTTGATCTAAACTTATTCATATGTCTCTTATATTTATTTGAATGAATTAATTCATACGAAAAGAAAAATCCTTCACAGAACAGAAAAGTCTGCTGGAAGAAAGAAATATCCGCTGCTGGAGTATTTATATTTTGCTTTTTTCTATAACTACTGATATACGCGATATTTCATTAGGTGTGCAAAGTTCCATATATTCTTAGTGCATTTTAGGTAAAGCGTATATTTTTTGGATCAGGCCTCTCACTCCAATTCCTTTACGCCGCTCCTGCAAATAAATGATAAATAGACATACTGTTTCATAATTCGGCATATTTTTTCACAAAAAACGAGAAGAAAACAAGTTTGTACAACCAAAATAATTGAGAGATCACTATTTACTATTTCATACAGATGGTGAGGTTCTAGTATCAAAGTGTAAATCATAAGTTGCAGATGTTCTGTACATTTTGCTTCTGCTTGATACACCTGCCATCGAAAACACTGGTCAGGAACATGGAATCAAACTTTTAAGGTGTCTATTCGATAGAGCTCATCAACTTCTATTTTGGTCTACCAATTTCATCTCTTGGTTCCCTTTCTGACAGAATGCGAGAGATTTTTCTAACGTTTAATGCTTTTGGTTGTGTTTTTTTAGTACTTTTATCAGGTTTTCAGGCTGCTGATGGATTCAATCATAAAATGTGGGACTGTGTTAGATAGAGCTCGTCGTGTTCTATCTCGCTCCATCGCTTCGACCCCTATATGCGCGAATTATTTCAAGAAATAGCCGAACTCTGACCTAAAATATCTTGCTTGATTTGTATACCGATTTTGTATTGCTATTAGCTGTCTTTTTTTACCATAAACTTGTACAAGGAAGAAGAAAAGTGGGGTGTGGGTGTGTGAGCGTAGGTGCACATTGGTGTAACCAGGATTTTTAAGTCAATGGACAAACTTCTCTTATGTCTGAAAAAATGATGGGCAAGATTTTTCGTGATAGGCCAAAATATTTTTGACTGAACAAAGTACTAATAACTTAAGAAAACAGAAAAAAATGAAATGGGGTCTTTTTAATGAAATACACATCAAGCTCAGATCAAGCCTGGGTCGCATGTGTTTCAGTCTATTTTTAATGTCTCTGTTGATAGCTTTTATATTTCAAATTCAAACACCAAAATTAAGACAATGATGATGCATTTGTCTATATAATTTTCTTCTGTTCTTAATTCTGCACAGAAAGAACAAGCAAAAAGTGTATGTGGGATTTAGACGGATGAAAGAAAATACAGTTACTATCTAATTCAAAAATAAATAAACAATTCTGAAAAAGTCAAATTACAATGGGTAACTGCCAATTTGTCCCTTCCTTGGTTACGTCCCTGGGTGGGTGTAAATTATGGGTGCTCGTAAGAAGAAGAAATTGACACTCACACCCTCAAGTCAGAACACGGAAGGCCAATGTTTTCCAAAGAGTAACACTCATCCTGTTGATACAATAGAGTAGTCTTTTTGAGTTTGAATGTATTCTTTTAGGAAAGATAATTTGTTTTTTTTAGTGTGAATTAATAGAATATTGGTGTTCATCGATGATTTAGAATGAGATTAAAGATGTAATAAAGAGCCAAGCAGAAATTGTATCCTATCAGAAATCAGTTCGCATATATCTTCTTAGCTGAGTAGTGACGCCATATCTTTTAGATTTAAAAGAATGTATCTACTCTCCCCGTCACATACGCATTTATATATAACTGTCACGATGGGAGCTAAAAACTATCAATGACAAGATCGATTCTTCTATATCACATTTACTTTCAACAAAGCAAAAAGACATGTGTGAATCTTCATATCTATTATCAATTGTCAATTAAAAAGTATTTTGTAAAATAGTGTCATTCATTTTTTTTCTAACTTGGACTATATACAAAAGTCTTTGAAAGTTTATCTATAGATCTTAACTATAGTTTGGACATATTCAATTATTTTCAAGTAGATATTATCAAATGTAGGATGACTCAAAGAAAATCACTTACGAAGAAGACAGCTTGTTCAGGTAAAATGGACCATGCTTGGTCAAAGTTGAGTAGAAGATTTCTTCAACACGAAGTGAATGAATTTATTCACTGAATTTTTTTTTATATGTTTTCATATGTTCTCCACAGTTAGATGCTTTACATTTTGAATAAAGATGAGAATCAATAGTGGTCGTCAGCGAAAATCAAGTGCTTTTTTTTTTGCTCAAAAGTGATCCTATTGTCTTTCATTATATTTCAAACACTCTCTCATCATTCAAAAAATGAAAATAACAATAGCATCATTGAAGATTAAACTACACGTTGGCATCAATCGAACTCCTAATACAGTAATCAAAGATGCGAAAATGTGCTTTTTTTAAGGAGTGTAAAAAAAGGATGAGTGCGTTACTGTATTGTTGTGATGATAATTCTTTGTAAAAACTAATTTTCAAAGAAATCATTTTATCATGGTAAGGTCGGTCTCCTTAGTCACAAACAAAAATGAAAATATTTTGTACAAAACAAGAAAATTTTTAGAAGCGTGAGCTTTTTGGAATCATTCTGATAGAAGGAGTCCTTTTGGATGAGTGCGTTACTACGACTATTCATCCTTCTCGAATTATTACAGCTCGACCCCATGAAATTAGAATTTTGATAAAACTAGAACTTTCATATATTTTGCTGCAATGTAAATTTCACTCCTTCCTTCCTTTAATTTATTCAGTAATGACCATTTGAAAGTTGAAAATGAGTGAATGCTATATTAGTGGACAAATTGTAACCTCGTCCTCAAAAACAAATGTTTAGCACCGGACGTCCAGAGAACGAATTGTGGTTGACCAAAACTAGAGAAGTCCAACTTGGAACAGGTCAAAAGACGAGTTATTTGATTGTAGATCCTTTTTTAAATGCTCCTATGTCTAAATTTGAAAGTATCCATCTAAGCATGTAATACAACATACTTGTCAAAACGAAGTTATCTATTGAATTATTCTATGATAACGTAATTATAGAACAAATTGTTAGTTTAAAGAGAACAACTCAGTCAATCTAAGATTGTCGCATATACGAATGATTTCGCTCATACAGAATAAATGAGTTTTACTTGACAAGTTGAATATAAATAAATACTTAGGGTAGTCCAAAAGTAGTGGCGGAGGTACTTTATTTTCTTACAGAAAGCTTTAAAAAAAATTCTTTTTTTATGAACAGATAGAGCGTCTTTCGCTCTATTTTTCTATGCTATTTGATCACTATTCAACTAGTATCATAATAATAAAATTTCGATAAGATCTGTTTTCTTCGCATATGTGCTAGTAGCATGAATGCTCGTGATTATTTTTTGAATAAAGTTTAATAGAAACAGGATAGAGAACTGCAGTTTTCACTGTTGGAAAGAAGAGATGAAGATGCATCGAACCATGTATTACTGATTTTTCTAACTTGTTTTTTATAAGATTTTCAGCTGACCTTTTAAAGAACAAACCTATCCTGTGAATTGTTTACAGTGATTTTTCAATAATAAGGTTCTCATTCAAGCCGCTAATTGCACATATACAAAGTGCGAAAGACTCAGATGTTTAAGTTCAACTATTTTGAGATAATACGTATTCCAGACGGACGCCTACTACGATTTTTTATCGATTTTTTTGCTTTTTTCTTTTTTTCGTAAAAAAAGCATTTTCCCGACGGTTAGAGAATTGAATGAAAAAACTTCAAAAATAATATTAGGAAAATCGGTAATATATGGTTCGACGCGTCGTCATCTCCTCTTTCCAATGGTGAAAATCGCAGTTCTCTATCCTGTTTCTATTAAACTTTATTCAAAAAGTACTCACGAGCATTCATGCTACCAGCACATATGCGAAGAAAACAGATCTTATCGAAATTTTATTATTAGGATACCAATTGAATAGTGATCAAATAGCATAGAAAATAGAGCGAAAGACGCTCTATTTGTTCATAAAAAAAGAATTTTTTTTAAAGCTTTCTGTAAGAAAATAAAGTACCTCCGCCACTACTTTTGGACTGCGCTAAGTATGTAACTGTCAACTATGTTAGAACTCATTGACACATGATCACCAAAAAATTATCATTGTCATTTTCTAGAAGAACTTTTTTGCATTCTAAAGATTATGTAACAAATAATATGAATTATTGAATAAGTAGTTAATAATCAAGAATAAATAATTACTAAATGAAAAAAACCTATAATTATCTCTTTTCACCGTTCTAAACTACAGTTTTGAGTTCGAATGAAAATAAAGCCAAAAGCTTTTGCTTGTTAAAAACAGTATCTCATAGATTGTTGATAACCTAATTTGTCTAAATTCGGTATGCATGAAGACTTAATCATTGTTGGTGGACCACAAATACATATTAAAACATCATCAGAAGGTGGTGGCATATGTTCTTTTAACATTATTTCATTAATATAACCTTGTGAATATTTCCATTGTTCACTTCGGCGATCAATAGTATACCACAATTTAAATCGATCAGCATTCGATGCAGCTGATTGTTCTAGTTCATCACGTAATAATATATCTTGTTCAGTTTTATTTGCAAATAAAAGCCAAATTTTAATCGGAACATATTGACCAATGACAATTGATGCTTGTTCTTTTAATATTTCATTTAATAGTTGATATATCGGTGTTATACCTGTACCACCAGCAATTAAACCAAGATGACGAACATTTCGTGTTACAAATGGTTCAAATATACGTGAACGTATATCAAATACACCATTATTTTTATAAATAAGATTTCCAGATGGACCACTTATTTCAATACTATGACCAATATCAAGTTTATCCAGATATTGAGTCATTTTACCATTTGGATAAATTTTAATAACAAGATCAAAATAACCTTGATTATCATCTGAGGTTATTGGCGTATATGGACGTTTAACAAGTTCACCGTTAACATATGTTGTTAAATAAATATGTTGACCAATAGGTAAACCAAGTACATGTTTTGATGATGGGAGTTCAAAACGAAAATGACATGTATCATGAGATACATTTTCTTTATAAGACAATTGAATTGTATACTTAATATCTGGATTTTTTAATGTTTTAATAACATTTTTTCTTTCCAATCGTTCATTATTATTCGATTGATTTTTATTTTTAAATAAAATAAAAATAAATATTGAAACAACAGTTACACTACCAATAGCTACAAGAGTCGATGTATCGATTGGCATTTTGCTTTATCTAAAATCAAATAAATCAGAAAAAAAGGAAAATGGCAACAGTGTGGTAACATCTGGTGTGCGAACATTCATTTGAGAGAAAGGACGATAGAGAAGGACGTACAAAAAAGAAATTTTAGAGGATGACTCTTGAAAAAGGAGGAAGAAAGGAAGATTTTCTTTTTTTAGTTACCATAGAAAGGGCACTGCAAGTACCACAGATATACAACTCTAGAGAAAGTACTGAGTTCAGGGTACCCATATACGGAGAAAGTCTCAGCAATGTACTTATACCAGTATATTTACTGAGTGGGTCTGGGTGTGTGGGTGGGTATGTGGGGTGGGTGTGGCTATAGCTGGGTTGTGGGTAGAGCCCGCCGAATCGGAATCCTGGCCTGAAAAACGTTTTTGAGCAGGTCCGGGTCCGAGTATAGAAATTGTTGAACCAGATGGGCTCTACCTCTGAAAGATGGGGTGTGTGGGTGTGGGTGTGGGTGGGTGTGAGTGTGGATATGGGTGTGTAGGTGTGACTGTGGGGTGTGGGGGGGCGTGGGTGTGTGGATGTCGGTGTGAGTGTGAATGAAGAAAAGATGTACACCCACACCCACCCACACCCACACCCCATACCCACATCCACACCCAACCACACCCACACCCACACCCACACCCCTACCCACACCCTAAATTTCTAACACTATGCACTTGAATAATCTTTTTAGATTATGTTTCTCAAAATAAATAACATTTAAAGGACTTGAACAAAACGTGAATAATCAGATTGCAAGAATTTAACATATGCTTCAACAATCAACGGACAACAACGATGGCATTGGCGCGTTTATTCTTTCAAAGAAAAGTGGCTCTATTAGCGATGTAGAGACGCATGAATTATTTCAAAGAAATGCAGTTAATCCATCATCATATTCTGTTCGAACTGAAGTGACAAATGCCGAACGCAGCATTGTCTTGATGAAGTCTGCTAGCGTCGTTTCATCAGACGACATTAAACACAATCTGGTAGCAAATATTAATGAAATGGATGACGAGCAAAAAAATTGTTCAGATATTCGTATCTTGCTTCTACAACCTTCACATATAAGGAAGGATTTTGAGAACGTCCGTGCAATTCTAAAGGAAATATTCGAAGAAAAACTTCTCGTTGTTCCAAATGGACAAAATCACGCCGACCTGATTAATAATGAAAATTTACTAGCAATCATTCTACCTCCGCCGACAGATGATGATAAAATAACGCTTGAAAAGATATGCTCATATGAGACTTGCCCATCAATTTATATAGTGGGGCAGCAATCTGATACCGTCAGTGATAGACGAGAGTTTTTTATGAAACACTCTCCAGTCCGTGCCATGATTGACGATCCTGAGGAGTTGGCCGTGAAAGTTACAATGGATGTCGCTTTCAAAAGCCGAATGATGGGAGATCATTATGCTCGAAAAAAAGACAAAAACCGTGCAAATAGAATGTACGACGAGTGCATTGACTTGCTAAATCGACTGAACACCCTACCGTTAAAGAACCTGAACAAAGCAGACTGACATGACAATAGCTAGAATTCCGATTCTCTCATTATAAAAACCCGACAATACTTTTGACATTATCTTTTTTTTGTAAAGTGCACCAGGATTTTAGAAATCTGTTAACTCAATATGAAAGTAAGCGAATGATTTTTCATCATTTTTTTAATCATCGGACAATGTGTCAACTCAATATCACATATCGATTCCTTCCGGCGTCTCATCCACTAATAATGAGGGATAGAACTGGTATTCGGTATATCAAAACAATATATACACAGTGAAATTTTGCAACTTAAAACCTTGTTAGTGCATAGAGTAATGCTGTCAGTACAGCCAAAGCTATTATTGCTTGTTATGAGCCAAACTTCGAGATGAGCTGAGACTAGAAGACAAAACAGTTAGAATCTCTTCTTGATAACAGTAGCTCATTTGTTCAACACACAGAATAAAAATGGTGTGTTTCGCGAACAGCATAATAATTGTCATTTCCTCATATTTATATTTATTTCCTTGTTCAAACGTTTAATATTCAGCTTCTGATGAATTTGATTAAGTAATGTTTGACTGATGTATCATCGAAAAAGCCTTTAACTTGTGGACAAAAACTAAGCTATCTCTACTATTATACTAAATACCTGTACATTTCTATGTGTATTATATAGGCTTCATATCAAAGTGCATTCCAAAAAATGATACTTTAGATGCATTATAATCCTTGAAATATTTCTCCAACAACTCTTTTCACCTTTAACAATGTATTGTTATGAGTATCTGCTCAAATATATATTAAGATTTGAAGAATAAATGATTTGCAAATAAATGATAACTATGTATTATTTTGTTGGTTATAACGAAGCTGGAATCCTTATTCATACTAATCACAAGGATTCTCACTATTACTCGAGACTTGTGATGTATGTGTAGAGATAGAGCGAATTTTAAAGATTCTTCCTGGCAATACGAAACGATTTCAACACTTTTTTCACACAATTAACATCGCACGTAATAAGATGCCTCAAATTTTAAATGGAAAGACCTATCTGAAGAAAACCTACCGAAAATGAGTTCTAAGAAAACTATTGAAAAGAAAAGTTTTGCACGCATATAAGATTGCAAACAGTCTCACAATTTCCATGACCACTTTGATGTTTTAGACTAATCTGCGATGCAATTCTTTGAGCTATACGTATATTTTAGATCAATGAAATTCCTTAAATATGGATCAGCTGCCTGTTATTCTACTCGACTCAAACAACCAATATCCACGCCATAAAAATGATTATGGGCATAGGATAGCACATTTTACTGATCGTAATACTTGTATTATACATATAGCAAATAATATAATACAGCATGAACGAATTGAAGTATTTCTCTCTACTATTGATTGAAATATCATCGGGAATGATTTGCCTCTATTCGGTAGGATATACTTTCATCTATACTGTTCCACTAACGATGATATTGCAAAAAATGAAGCTTTATTTCCATCACGTGCATATGTCGAAGCCTTCCAAGAACTTTACTTGTGGATGGCAATCGCTATAGCCATTTATAGACACGATTTTATGCGTCTTCGAACAACCAACGATCGCAATTCGGTGCTTGCAGTATTACTGACCACGACTGAGACAATGTTGGAAGAAGTAGAAGATGTGAAGGCTGGCGTACAACCAAACTGAATAGAATATTTAATACACAGCGGTTTCGAAGTTATTTTCCCGAAAAAAAAGCAATATCTCTGACATAATTTGCACAGATAAGCTGATTTTTTCCAGTCCATAATGAAATGTTCATAGTTCATAAGTATAAAACTTTTACAAAAAGGCTACTTTGAAGAATCACCATTTGTTCCATAAGAAGCTTTATTTCTGATAACTTATTAAAAAAAAAGACAATGCCAACAGCCATAAAATAATCGACCTCAAGTTTTCGATTAACCTTCATACTAATTAGTATTAGGTAATTTTTAAATTTATAGCATACATATATTTTTTATGACTCGGCATATTCTAAATCTCAGTCATACAACAAAGATAATTTGTCTAAAAAATAACTATGCGACTAAATTTTCGCAGTCAACAAAAAAGTAAACTTATTCTTTAAAGAATTTGGTGATATTTCAAAGTAGAATTCAATGTTTTCCTTATGGATATAAGGTATGAAAATTGCTTTATCCGTTTGAAAAACATCAGTCAATATAGCGAAATTGTAGCAGAGATTTTTGTTTTTTTTTTGTTTTTGACAATTTTACTTTTTATGCATCTTTATCTGTGCCGAGAAACGTTTTTAGTGTGAATCATTCAATAATTTCAATGATAGTATAGAAAATCGAAAGCAGAAAACATCAAAGTTAGTTGAAAATTTGTGCGACTATAACAAAATCAATCGAACTAAAGGAATATATTCGAAAACTTAAAATAAATACTTCGGCTGCTCAAAGAATTTATGAAAAATTCGATTCGAATAAGCCTACATTGTTAAGTACAACAATATAAATTTTCTGGAAACATTGATGTATGCTTTTCTTTTGAAGTCTACGTGCCTCATATGCATTTTAAAGCACGATTCATCGAGTTTGTAGTTGTCGACAATTAACGAGCTGATAGGCAATCAGAAAAGAAACGCTGTTCTATTGATGATCAACAAATCTATGATACAAGCAGGTCTAGAAAAGAAACCATTAAAAAAATGGCGACACCATGATATCAATTATAAAGCAAATAAGTAAAAACACAAGCATCTTGCCCCTTCATGATTCTTTACACCTCATTTCAGGGTTTTTTGTTCTTTGCTTTCTTGTTTCAACGTAGAAAATCGGATTCTCTTAGCAAATAATTTTTAGTGCGCTGCCGTTATCGGTAACAATAAAGGTACGTTATCACGAATATGAATGTCTCTTGTTTTTCTACTTGACAAGAGTAGGGAGAGTATAGGTGTGGATGAAGGGTGGGTATATGAGTGTGAGTGTTTGTCATCTCTTCATCCACACGCACATCCTCAAGATTTGATAAGTATATTATAGCATGTTTTCTAATAACAGATATTCTTAATAATTACATTTTAGTTAGAGCAATCCAAAAGCAGTGAGGGAGGTACCTTATTTCCTCAAGTAGAGGGCTAAAAAAGTTTCTTTTTTTACCAATAGATAGAGCGTGTTTCGCTCTATTTTTCTATGCTATTTGATCATTCATCGCCTTCTACTAAGTTGGCGAAATTTCGAGAAAAGGTTTTTTTGCATACAACTCCC